ATGCATATATATTCTGCCCGTATCTTCATTCGTATTTGCACGTGGGCCAAGTTTTTTGGAGAGCTTGGTGCTTTGTTGTCCCGGTGGCGTGCGAATGTGTTTAGCTGTGGTAGTATGTTTGAATCGGATTTACAGCCAGCACTGTGTGCGTGCGGGGACATCAATTTATTTGCCTCGGTTCAAGCTAATTACAAAGGTATTCATACCCACATCAAAAGTCACAAAGTCAAGCACTCAATGAGCTCATGACATGCTATACACAGGAATGAGTGACGGATTCATACTCAAGTTCCGGTCGTTGTTGGGCGAGATCATCCCTTCGTCGTCGGGCACTGGCCTATTTGCCAACACAGTCGAGCAGAAGGTACGGTTTAATGAGCTGTATGAGCGTGCCGCTGAGAAAGAGAGGACGAGATTGGCGGACAACCTGGTGCTGGGCAGTCTCACACAGGGGGTGGTGGTCTTGCGTCAGTTACTGAAGGAGGATGAGCACAGCGATGCACAGGTGAGTGTGTGGTGTGGCAACCACGTTCTGACGTTCTGATATGGTAACTAGTACGTTTGTGCTTTCTGGTGGTATATGCGCACCGCACTGTGAATGTATCACTTCTGCTATAATCGAGGAACCGTGAGTTCGCACAGGTGTGGTGTGTATGCGGAATGTATGCTCATATCTGCATTTTCCTGATATGTTAATAGTATAAAGAACGGGCATTCGGGCAGCACACCATTAATCGTTTTCTAAGGGCCATTGTGAGTGCACTCACATGAGTTTGCATGACTGTATATAGCACACTTTCAATCATATTTATAAATCAGGAGCCTCCCAGATACCACTGTTGCGGTGAAAGATATTGTAGATTGCATGCAGAGTGTATGTGCTAACTCGCATTTATCTAATATGCCATAGGTACAACGTGCATTCGACGTTGTGGATGCAGACGATCTTGCTAAGTTCATGCAGGAGTTCTTCCAGGATGTCAGGATAGAGATGATCGCCACTGGAAATGTGGTATGTGATATATTTCCATCAATATTGAGTGGTAGTAGGATTTTTTTTTGGGTCACTCACTATTCGCCTATGAGATAAGTTTTCTGATCTGCGGGTGTGTCCGGTGGGACTGGGCGTATCCTTTTGGAAATTTTGGTTGTTTCCTGTACTTCAAGCGCATAAGCCTGTCGTTCAACCAGACGCCTGCGCGCTTACCAAGGTATGCATTAGCACACATTTACATTCGCAGTTATAAACGCACGAGAAGCAAACAATATAGTGTTCACAGATTGGATACTGTATCCTGCTTACGATACTACGCCCAACCTAAACATCACCTCAGAGGCACGAAGAAGCCGCCGAGTATGTGGACTATGTGCGCGTGATCCTCTCGCCGCTCGCAGGGGCCAACAAGCTCAGCACATCGCACACAGAGATGCACTATGTGCCAGCCACAGCGGATACTACTGCACTGTTCTCCAGCTCAGAGACTGACGCCAAACACACAGACGTGATCGTGGAGACGGTCAACACCAACCCAACCGACGATACCAGTGCGATTATTGCCTGGATGCACGCTGGCCCGGTGGAGCCCCGTATCCTGGCACTCGTACGGCTTATCACCGCGATGTCGAGTGAGCAGGTACGCAGCTTTGTCGAATCTTCCAAGGGATATGTTGCGTTGCGACTGGGACAACTTTTGATAATTGCTTTTGTAAATTCGTATACACACCTATCTTGATAATCGCCTAGTTCGCAGAATTGAGTGTTCGCGACTCAACCGATGCAACGGAAATGTGTGTATTGAAAGTAAGAAAGCTCAGTAAAGGCTTCGAACGTGTGTCACCATGGGGCTTAACACGATGAGAGGTCTAAGATGTGTTTGTGCTAGCTGTTGTGGTCGCAAAGGGCGACGAATTGTATCGTTGTGTGCGGGCTAGCTGATATGCTATTGTTACATCGTGGATTATATTGGCACAAGCTAATATGTGGTTTAATGTGCTTAGCCATCGTCTACCCCATGTACTTCACGTGTATCGATGGTAGTCAGGGAAGAGCGTGGGTCTCTCCATCCTACAGACACCCCCGCGAGGCAGGGCCAGCGGTAAAGTGTGACAGCAGCAGCGAACCCTCTCGCTATGCTGGCACGTTACCACTCCGATATACGATCGTGTATTAATCCTCACTAGAGCTCACTCATCCATACTCGAACCGTATCTTCTCGCATATTGCGGGCTTGTCACGTTCGTTGCCTAAACATTGCGATGTATTTCTTTTTACTAACCGATGTCACAAATACAGGCATTTAGTGTCCTGCGTACCACCGAACAACTAGGCTACATTGTGTCTCTGCAGATGGTCGAGTTCAACGACGTGGCAGGTATATCCATTGCTGTCCAGTCCAATCGCCACCCACGCTATCTGAGCGAGCGCGTGGGTGCCTTCCTCAGAGAGTCTCACCTGCGGACCTTGCGTGACACTACCGACGCCGAATTCTTTGAATTCAAGCGTAGCGTTGTCGACGAGTTGAATCGCGGGGATAGTGTATGTCGTGCACGATGTATGCGTTTTGCCTGGGGTTCTGTGTATGTGATAATTAGTCAATCACTTATACAGGATTTATCCACTTTGAAACAAATGTTAGATGAGCAATGTTCAGATCAGAAGGTGTAGGCTAGTTCGCCACAGTACTGGTAGCCCTGCGTATAGGTTCCTACTGAGTTTCAGACCGTTTTGTATCAATTCAAGACAGGTTTGCAGTTGGTGACACTCGAGTTCTAACACACTTGTCATTCTCTATTGGAGGGCCCGTATTGCGCTCTACTAACACATCATTGTATAGTATTATCACGTTCCATAGAATCCGTGAGCAGTCAGTCTCCGATACCTCCTAATATATCCTCGTTTCCTTGTGTGTACGTGTGCAGTCGTTGTTCGATGTCAGCGTTAGAGTATGGTCTACTATTCAAAGCAAGAAATCACTAGACGACGTCGACTTCGGCGTTTCGTACAAGGTCGTCACAGGTATGTGTCGAACTAGGTCACGGATTTGTTACCGAGAAAAGAACATGTCGGGAATTCCGCTTGCATATGCAATGCTTTACGCAATGTAGGCCTGCGCCCAGTGTGTAGTGGGATCTGTTATACGTGACTATGTCGAGTATCTGTAGCGTGTCAGTTTTGAAAACTAGAAGTATATTTCTGTTTCACTATTTTTCAGCTGGGAAGTACAACGTAAACACATGAAAGAAATATGGCACGAAAGTGACACTTTTCGTTGTTAGCTTGGATATGACGTGTATCGGCATATGGCAGTGTGCAAGTGATACGAGGCAGGCGTGCGATAGTGACGCGTATACTATATTTGTGTCAATATACATTCAGCACAGAGTCGGATATGACGTGAAGCGCGTTTGGCCCTTGCGCAAGAAACAGTACCTTCTCATTCTTTTGTTTACATAGTCCCTCTATGCATCGAAGAAGTTACCATGACCATTTCTCGCTTCAAAGCCAATGAATGGAAATTCATCCCACGATACTGATTGTTGGACGTTGATTATTCTTCCTCTTCAGCGCTACAAAAACTGACGAAGGAGGAAGTTTTGGAATTCTTTACGGAGCTTACCAACCGATGTCTGACAGTCCAGGTACTAATTTTGTTATTTGCTATGGCTGGACATATTCTGTGCGTTCAAAACCATTTAGCGAACTGGATAATCCAGCTTGCATCATATTTCGAGTGTTGATTCTCTGATATACCTTTGAGTGGCGCGATTCCCTATTTTGCAGGCCCTATTACATCGATCTATCTTGACCCACAAGTTTCTCGTATTTGATTTTATTTTGCAGATGGTGTCGCAATCTGTTACCGACTGGCAGAACGATACGATGATCGCTACCACTCCTGACGCTCACGCTGGTGCTATTATTAGAACAGACGAGTACTTCGAGATGCTCGATATACCAAATCGAATAGATTAATACAAAGTATATCCACAAAGTAACTTAGAACCGAATATATGATAAGATTAAATAAAAATTAGGCAGATTTCAATAGTATTGAAGTGTTGGCAACGCGGGTTCAAGCTGATTAAATGGACATATTCAAATAAATGAAGTGGCAGATATCTGTGTGTGAGGTCAGTGCACCTCACAGGTCCATGACCATGTTCAAGCGTCCTTCTCGTTCATGGCTCAGGATAACATGTTGATTGCCAGGTACTGCTTTATCGATGATAACACAACCTATTTGGTTTATTGCATTGTTCCCAAGCGCCGTTATGAATCCTATCAACAATTCTGGTTTCTCTCGCTGATACTATTTACACAAATTAAAACTTGCGAGCATTCCCCTGACCTTGATAAATGGTATTCGAGCACGATATATTTCTCGTTAGCGAGCTTGACAGTGTGCTGAATTTCTACTATATACCTAGCTTCTGCGCGTGTCAGATTAGCCCTTGAGCCTGATCGTAGAAGACAAGTATATCAGTTGTCAATATTTTATGGCCGTCGATTCATCCGGGTGCCCGTTCAAGTTCGGTGAAACAATGGCAGCATGTTTACCTAGGACGGATGAAAGTGGTCCAAGAAATATTTGACCGTTTTGACTAAACCGCAGTCACTTCCATAAAATTTATACCTATAGCATGCACCTCATCGACACAGCTTATGGATGGTAGTAAAAGGCTACCTATAGTGATTCGTCTATATTGTGACTCAACATACGACGCTATTTGTTATGTATGACAATACACGTAACAGGTGTCACCGTGTAGCTAAACTCGCTCACTTTTTTTTAAATATTATAACACGTTCTACAAGGGGACAATGGGTGCAAATCGAAAATAGGATACATATGAAAGCTGCACAAAAATACCCGCCCGAATTGCCTATTTTAGATTTTAGTCCGATACAGAGTACTGTACCAGTGTACATATGGGCGATTTGGGTTTTTTCTTGAAACCAAAAAAAAAAACAGTTTACTGTGCCATAGCCAACTGATAACCCCTGTACTCTCCTTCCGACACGTAATGTAGAAAATAAATAGTTGGAGGTCATACTTCTCACAGCTCATATTCGCACATACACGACACAACACATAATCCCACATACACGACACAGCACAGACTATCGCCTGTGAACTTATGGTGGTGCAGACAATGGACATATCTAGCACTCAGTTGGCATCAGGTAGAATTGCTGAGTGTTGCCGTACGGAGAGTCGTGTGTGTGAGATGCAATCTCAACGGTATATAATTGCTTTATAAAATAGTCTCACATATGCAATATATAAAGTTCTTAGCGAGGAAGAAGTCTCATACGCTAGCGGTGTATATGTTTCTTCTACATATTCGAATGTATCTCTTGCTTTGTACTCAAAACGATATGAGATACTCTGCTATGAATTTGTATGCCTCTGTGTGACATATTGATAAGTACTTATATATAACAAATATAAATACTCCTGAGTTGTTCTTATTATCTTGGAACGATTTGCTACGCACTCATTGAAAGCTCGTTGCTTTTGGTGAGTAGCGATTGGTAACAGGAAAGGATATCAGTGGAGATTCGTTTCGTGTACAGTTACAACGTATCTGTGACAAACTTCGTCGTAGCATACCATTGAGATCGATCTACGAGTAGATAGTAAGTACACTGGAATTTTAATTATGCATCTCTCAGCTCTAGAACATCCCCGATCATACAAGATATATAACCGGTCTATATGTCAAATAATATCCAGAGGTTAATATACACGCTGAATAGCGTATCTGTCTGCACAAGAGGCATCAGTCATATCAGTCTAGACGTATACATGATTGTCAAACAGGGGAAATACCGGCAGAAGGCGCGAAAGCTGGCGACACTTCGGCGAACGATTCGAATGATGGAGGCAGTGTATGGAACACCACACGCTATGTCACTTGTGAGATTTTCATGCGAGATAATTTTTGTAAATTGTTTAGTATCGACTGCCGGCGCATATGCTCCCGCACACAGTGTTTCCGGGTATCCATCGGAGAGAAACATTCCTTTTCTACCGCATAATTACGCATGACTGACGGATCTGCTTTGGATGGAAGTATGCAGGACCACTGAGTGTTATGAGCTTATACTATATACTCCCGAACAGCGCGATCGGCGGAGTGGATCCATTGTGCTGAGCGATCCCGCGCCTGAGGGTGTGTGGCTTCCAGATAACCTAGAGTGCTGATGCCGATCGAGATCTCTTAACTGAATATCAGCTCATATGCGAGCGTCGTGTTTGAGCTCGAAAATGGCTTTGACATGTGCTCTACTTTCTGCGTCACAGTCAATGAGCGGGTTGATTTATCCAAGACAACTTACTAACCGCATATTTAGCAAAGTTTCTACGCATTAATCTGCAGAATGCCTCGGATTCATCGGCAGCGAGACGTATGGCTGGGAAGGTACGTATAAAAAATCTGCCAGTTGTTCAGTCGGTTAAATATACAGGCTTAAATCATTAAGTCCTCTCTTTATTGCAGAACACTTTCTTGATAGTCTCCCGAATTTATACAGCAAGATATGCTAATGAGCAGCTTGTTATATTGAACTGCGTCAATATGAAATTCCAGGCAAAATCGAAGAATTGATGGGACCGATATATGCATTAGCGCAAAGCTTACAAGATCTTGACGACAAGGAGCACGCCCTTTTCAATGAGGTGGAGAGCTTATACCGTATGTGTATCCGTTAAACGTACTTTTAATGCTGTTGGTGGGTTTATAGAAAATTGTGCTGGGGTGTAAGAAATCAATGGCAATGTATACCTATAGCACTTCAAAAGAAATATTTATCGAACACCTCGGACATTGGCTTGGAATGAGAACTTGCGAGAACTTGCTTGACGAGATGTAAAATCTCTCCATTTTTTTTATGCGGTCTGTAAAACTGTCAAGCAGAGGAGGCTCTTAAACAGCAGAAGGCTGGCACTGAGATGCTCAACAGCCACCTGGAGGCTATCGACGAGTGGATGGGCTTCTATAAGGCCAGAATGATGGAACTCGACCTTCCTCGTGGCCAGGACTGAGCGTACAGAACAAATACATAAAAAGTTCTAAGTTCTAACCACGAACCCTAAAACCCCAACGAAGGGCTGTTTTGGCGCGAAAATGCATGCGGTCAATATGCGGTGTCAAGTACCATTAACCAAGGGCAAATTGTGTGTAAATAAATAGCACCTATCCCGTTATGTTCGATAACTCCCGTGCATTACTAGACTGGAGAGGAGATTCTGTCTGCAAATTCTACCATCATGACTCAGGATAGCAACCTGGAAAGCTTACGATATGTCGACGGCAAGATGACACTGCTAGACCAGCTGCAGCTGCCTCTGATCGTGCACTACGATGCAATCACATCTGTACAAGACGGTTGGGACGCAATCCGTGAGATGAAGGTGCGTGGGGCCCCGGCTATAGCAGTGGCGGCCGCTCTGTCACTCTCCGTGGAAATCCTTAGTATGACTAAGGCTAACAAGTTCAGTGATACGAGTGCACTAAAAGAACACGCTCTCGAACAGTTGGAGCATCTCAAGTCATCCCGACCCACGGCGGTTAACCTATTCAACATGGCGGACTGGTTTAAAGTGTATATTGAGGATAAGTACGAGGTCCTCTCCAAGGATTCGGTCTTGGAACTTGCCGAAGCTATTGACGAGAAAGCTAAGAGTATGTTGTTTTTTATATGTACCCGGTTCTTGGTTCGCTATTTGGTTTCTTCTATTTGTGCCCACACGCTCCCATTACGGCTGGCAGTGCTAGTGTGCCATGCATGACAACAATCGCATTGCAGATCGCTTTCCATACAATTAGATGTATTGGGCTGCTTGAATTGCAGTGATTCTCATTCAGGTCACGAAACCCCAGATGTAGAATTTGGATCTCCGCTCGGCAGAACCCTAGTTGTATCTATGAATTGTTCTCATTACAATGCATATATATACATATACACTCGACAGAAATGATGGTGGATGATGTGTCCAAAAACAAGCTCATCGGTGACCACGGGGCAGAAGCAATGGTAAAAATGACTCAAAAAAAAGATGAGCTCAGAGTGTTGACGCACTGCAACACTGGGTCTCTGGCTACTGCCGGATACGGTACAGCGTTGGGTGTACTGCGAAGCTTGCACGCGCAAAATCTGTTGAAGAGAGCCTACTGTACAGAGACACGCCCGTATCTACAGGGCGCTCGACTCACTGCTTTTGAACTTTCCCACGATAAGCTTCCTGGTACACTCATTGCAGATTCAATGGTACGTCCGTTTCCTGTTTTATATTTGGTGTTTGTATTGTTTGTGTAGTTCTGGTGATGAGAGAGAGGGTGTGTGTAGTGTTCAGAAACGACTATAAGCGCAGAAACTAGCGATCTTATATTTTTGAAACATCTCAAGTTTTCAGTGTTGGTTCACAGTCGAGCAGACTGCTTTCTTGAAGATTATTATGAAAGCCTCATCGCCGACTCCATTTTAAAGCTGAATGTGGATGTGTCATTGTATATGATCTTCTCACAGGTTTCCATGCTGTTCAAGAATAAAATGGCAGACGCGGTGGTCGTGGGTGCTGACCGTATTGTGGCCAATGGTGACACGGCGAATAAGATTGGCACGTACCAAATAGCAATATCATGCGCCTACCACAAAATTCCCTTCTTTATTGCGGCACCCACAACCACGATTGATCTCTCACTGAAGAGTGGTGACCAGATTGTCATTGAAGAGAGAGCGGCCACAGAGATGAAGAGTATCAGTGGCGTCATGTTTGCTGATCCCGATATCGAGGTCTGGAACCCGGCCTTCGATGTGACCCCAGCCACCCTCATCACCGGTATGTTTATATTACTTTGTTTTTCACCCCTATCTTTCCCTTAAATGAACTTTTAACTACAGACCTTGCATTTCAACCCTCGTGAGAGAATCTTTCACGAGGCTTGAAATGCAAAGTCTCTGCATCAATTTTTACCAGCTCAATACCATCGCTTCTATTATTGTTTCAGGTATTATCACTGAGTGTGGTACTTTTTACAAGCCCGAGGGAAGCGACACTTTCGACTTGTCGAGCCAAATTGCGAACATACAGCTGGTTTGAACGCTATTCTAACAGACCAATGGAAAGTGTGAGGGAAGCAGTCTTTCGATTGCTATTAGTATATATGGTGGTGAGATTGTGCTTTCTTTAATGATGCATGTTGGGATTTAGTCCTAGTTCGCGAATTCTGTACATAGTGACAGCTCAAAGGATTACCTTTTTTGATGGAAGCACAGGGAAGGGATGGCAGAAGGATAGCTGGCGATGCACAATTCAAAGCACTTTTTGGATTATAGGGAACCTCTAAATATCTGCTTTAAGAACTAGATATTGGATACCGCTGATCGGGTGATGCTATTATGCGCCTTAATCGCATCCGTAAGGAACTGACTCTGTGTACAGTTCGAGATTTTCGGCCCATGTGCACTTAATCGGTCGATGGTTTGCTCTGGTCAAAGTCACCTAGTGAAACGCCTAGATACAAACATCTGTTCCTCCTATTGGAATAAATATTAGGCTTTCACACGACATACGCTGGTCCATTTCGATATAAGCATATGTTGTTAGAATTCGATGGACTTTAGACTGGCTAGAGTTGTGACCATTTCTTCGTTTATCGTTAATAATGTGCATGAGATTTTAAAAAGGTCGACTCCATCACAACTATTCAATTTCGTATGCCTAAATTTTGTTCCAAACGACGTGTCATTCATTTCTACTTTCAGCTACACTATGAGCAAGGAGGCAAAATATCTAATCAAATTGGATGGGCTAGGAAAGTGTCCCTCGACTGAGATGGTCGATCTAGGTAGTCGTTCATCTATTCCATTGCGTAGTTGTAACATCTGGTGTGTAGCAGTACAATTCTTAGCACTGCAGCGTTGAAACCAAAAGTCACGGCGATGGCTCTGGTGAGGCGTGATGCCGTGTGTGCATGTGTGACTGACTGCAGACGAAGTAAATACGTTACTTCGCTTGTTACTGTACTGACACAGTACGGCAAGCAAGCTCCGCGCACTCCCAATCTATATTTAGAATGAACCAGTGCACGTAGACTTGATGCGAGCTTTGCTAAGTCGGCACTTTTTATCCTCTCGACAAGGTATTTTTGTTTTTGGCTGCTTCACGTACACAAAGTGTGACACGTTCTGTTCATAGAGTTCCAAGTTTGCGCCATACAGCCCGGTCACTCTACGACGCACACGGGCCAGATCATAAACCAATGAAACATAGCTGGTCTTCTTGAAGTATCATATAGAGAGTACCGATAGATGCTGATTGGGGCGCTACATGGGCGGCAACGATGAAGTGGGCTACAGGGGAACATTTGCTATCGCTTCACATCAATCAGATTCATCTGCACACCCAAGGCGACTAGGGAGGCCTGGTGCCCAAGTCCTCCAACACCGTGCCAAAAAAGTCTCCAGTTTCGCAACAGTTCGTGTTGCATTTTTTGTACATCCTGCATTATGTGGTGCACGTCAATAAATCGGTCAGCCTGCAATCAGGGTTTATGACGGTACTCGCGGGTGCCGTGAAGTGTCTGTGAGCATTGATTGAATGATCTCCAGATGACTTACCTTGGTTGAGTACTGCTTCAGTATCTCGTGGATATGACGTATTTTCCCGGGCGATATTCGTACAATGAACTTGCTATAGTCAACGGCCCACTCATACGGCAGTACCAGCTATTAGGAAGAGGTCGAAATATGAATAGGTACGATATTGCATGAGTTGCAACGCAGAATTGGCAAATGAGTTCAATGGGATCGACAAGAAGCTTTTCTGAAAATAAAACTTCACTTGAGTATGAATTATGCAGGATTCACTATGGATTGTATCAGCAGTCATAAAATACGCATGTATCTACAGTTACGTATAGTTATCACACCTCGTCTGATATGACAACAGGGATACAACCAAGTATCATTGCATAGTACGGAACTGCCGACCATGCATGAAATCCCTCCGGGGCCACACAAAACACTGATGAGAGCATATCGCCACTCACGGTTTCCGATGTGAAATTGGATATCTTAAAGTCGGGATGTTGCGAGAAAGACGCTTTTATATACTGTCGCACACCCTTGGAATAGGTCAAGCCATCCCTATCGCGTATGTCGTCATTAGGGATATCACCCCAGAAGTAAGCCAGCGTTGTGCGGTTACTCTGGATGGCAGATTGCTCTTCGACCGTGTAATTGTATAACGGACGTATCCCTGTTTCGATTTTTTTTTGATCACCAGAATGAGATGTCAAATAATACCGTGGATCGCAGACCCCGCCAGAGTTCTTCAAAAATGTACTTCGAACACAGTGGACGAGGCCGACCATCATTCACATGTACACAGACATATACTTTTAACTGGGAGGTAATTTACTGCAGTCAAGGACACAAACACACAATAGACGGAAAAGGGTTGTGAAAACATGTGTGCATGAATAAATATTAGCGATGAGTAGGTAGGGTGCAATTTAGAATGATATCTCACCGGTTGTGGCAATATCTGGCGCTACGACACATAGTCTGTGATTCCGATACCAGTGGGAAGACCTCTCGGCGTTGTGCACCATGAACACAGCGTTCTTCATCTGTTAAGGGCGTGCAAGGTGTACGAGATAGTTATGAGTCCGAGTTTGTGTATGGCCTGTATTGTGCGATATCAATAGCTCACCTGAATCATTAACTTTGCAAGCTATCTTACCAATTCTGAATTCTTGCTGCCGTACAGTAAGGACCCATATTCTGGGGTCGCCAAGAAAATGTGGTCTGTCCCGCTATTCATATCAAAAAAGTTACGTTGTCGTATGTCTTGTAAAACGACATCATGATACTTTTGAACTTTTCGTATCCGCCTGTCGCGATGGATCTGTTAGTATATAGTGACATGATAATCATGATTGAGATATGTGAACAAGCCTATACTTGATTAAAACACGTATATTGATCAAGCGAATAGCATCAATCTCTATTGAGAGTGGTTCGCCATATTTGGACGAATAAGATTACGAATGGAAGCTTAAACTCATAGCATTACTTACATCCAGACGTAGCATCTCGCACCATGATAAGAAGGGCACAATATACGCATTCGGCCGCGGAGCAGTAGCAAGTTTTTTCCTTCGTAGTATCCTACATGAGAAAAACAACGAAAACAAGTGAATAATAGTATACCACACTTGCCTGCCATGAACTTCCACACGCTGTTGAGAGAGTTGAAGGTACATAGTACGGAGATGTCACTAAAATTATTTAGGATTTCTATGCGCTGGGAACTTATTGATGTCGTAAGGATCGGTGGCACACATTTGTTCAACCAGTTAAAGCTTCATGTCTTCAAGCTGGGTGTGTCTGTATAACATGTAGAATTTAAATACGATACGATACACGAAGATCCACCTCAAAACAGCGCAAGCCATCCCATGGGATCGTAATTTGCATGTTAACTTCAGAAACCGAAAAGACCCGTTCATTGAGTTTCATTCTTGCGCACCTTGGAAACGAATATTCCAGCGAGTACGCGGAAGACTTGCAGTCGTATGTGTCCGGGTCTCTACCCCGTGTGGCCATCTCGTTGGCGCTATCTCTATCGGCCTCGATTTCGCCTTTCATCTTATATTTTACACTCGCTATTAAATCTTTCGACAGACTTGAGTGTAACGGGTATACGTATGGGCGCATTCCTATGCGCTTTGCTAGGGCTTTGAGTGCGACATCAGGTCCTGTGTGGAGAAACCACCAATTTAACAGTCAAAGTAACACTAGAGGTTGTAGCAGGATAAGTAAGATGTACTCGTACTTTATACCACACAAAAGACAAATCAGATATATTATTTTAAATACCACAGTGCTGTATCTCCAACTCAAAACAGATTGTGAGCATGCTAGTATACCTAAAAAAATTCTCAAACGTCGTGCTAAACACACCTGCCAAGTGGGGTGTCGTAGCGTCGACCTACCTGGACGCGTAAGGAACTCTTCGAAGAATTCTGCTGCCGTATTTCGTATTGATCTCCCTTGCGCGGGGTCTACCTGTTGCACAGTTTTCACGTCATCTTTTCTGCTGAGACTGACAGCATCACGTCTGTACACTGTGTGTGTAGGATCGATGTATGCCTAAAAAAGAGTAAAAAGAAGTTGTGCTCAATTTAGACACTTGGGGAAAAGGTCACAGCATATAACGGGCTCTGTCTTGAAAACATCATTTATTTGTAACATTTATAGACGCACTGATAATGATTTCAAATACAACATAAGGACCGGTGACTTTTCCATCTATAAATTTTTACGTCGATATTTGTTGCCGTCTGAACCAAAAAGTCAGACTATATTGTTAGACACAACGTCGATCCTTAGCAATTCATTCACAAGTAAGAAACTTTATGTGAAGCCTAAACATCACCAAATTAATGACGTATGTATACACTAGCAAATAGTTCAGCTAGAATAAGTATACTCAAACAGAACCATAAGTATTTCCTGAACCATATTTATGATCAGAAGATAAAATTAAGCATCATAGTTATTTATATATATCAATATATACGTGAAAGTGTAAATGAGTGTGTGTGTATACAAATATACATACACACACACACACACACACACATATATATATAGTTCATGTACATGCATGTATATAAATATATAATATAGTGCATGTATATACACTTATATATATATATATATATATATATATATATACTACCATATACATACTA